GAACCCTTTCAAGGAGGATAAGACCTGAAGCTACAAATGAAAATGAAGAGAGAGACAATGGACTTCTTTCAGAACTTATTGATAGTGCAAGGGAAGATGCAGATGAGCATCAAAGGATGCATTTGAGAAGCGTGCCGACAACAAAATCGCTGTTGGAAATCGATTTTCACAATAGATCTAATGAAAGAGTGATTAAGGAGAAGCATCAAGATTTCAAAGAAAATTGTGAACTAAAAAAAGAAGGAAAAAATAAAGAAAATAACAAAGATTTTTATGAAAAAAGACCAAGTAGCTTTGAAAATTCGTTAATGAGAAAATTTGGCTCTCCATATATGAGCACAAAAAATGTATTAGAGGAGCCAGGGTACTCTATGCAAAAATTACCAATACAACTAGAAGCTCTAGAGAAACAAATTGAACTTATAGAAGAGCATCCTCTTGGACACGCACGTTGTCAGGTTTACAACACTTATATAATTGCAGAAAATAAAAACAAATTAGTGATAGTTGATCAACATGCAGCTCATGAGAGATTAGTTTATGAATATATGAAAGAAGTCATGGAAAAATCAGCAATTAAGAGGCAGTCATTACTTATTCCCGAGATGGTAGAAATTACCAATCAGGCAGGAATGGAGATGATTGAAAATTATAAAGATAAACTCTCTGAAATAGGCTTTGACATTGAGATAATCTCAAACTCTATGGTATTAATCAAAGAAATTCCAGCAATTTTGAATGGTATAGATATAAAAGAGGTTATAACTGATGTAGCTGACAGGTTGATAGAAATGGAAGATGCTTTACCAATAGAAGATAAAATAAATAAAATACTAGCCACAATATCTTGCCACAACTCAATTAGGGCAGGCAGAGAAATGAAATTAGAGGAAATGAATGCATTACTAAGACAAATGGAAAAGACACCATATTCTGGGCAATGTAACCATGGAAGACCTACTTATATAGAGATGAAACTCAGTGATATTGAAAAATTATTTGAAAGAAAATAAAAATCTTTTGAAGAGAGTGTGGATAGCCATCCTTACAATTAAAGCTAGAAAGTTACTTGACTTTTTTATAAGAATAGTATAAATTTAACTATATATACTAATTTTAGGAGAGTGTATGTTTAATGCTGAAGATAAAAAAATTTCTTTACATCAGGCTGCTGCAAAGGGTCTACTAAGTGTAGTAAAGGATTTAGTAGAAAAAGGTGCGAATCTTAATGCTAGGGATAAAGATGGAAGCATTGCTTTACATCTGGCTATTGAAAATGGTCATGTAGAGGTAGTAGAGTATCTATTAAAAAAAGATATAAGTCTTGCAGTGCAATATAGGGGTGTTGAAGCTCCAAGAGAATTAGCTAAAGATAGTGAGATAAAGAAGCTTTTGGAAAAGGCAGAGAAAGGACTACTATTATTGCAAGCTGTTAGAAGTGGTAAGATAGATGTAGTAAAGGATCTATTAACCCCAACTATGGATTAAAAATCACTGAAAAAGTTAAGA